AATAATACTGTTAGGGCTTTGTTCTTGTGTTGTGCCTTCATAGTTCAAATTATTTCACAGTCAGTGGAGCTTTCTGTGCTGGATCCTTAGCAAATGTCCTGGTGTTTTTGTGTACTTTTTCAGCAACTATATCTAAATAAGTCAAGTGTTAGAATTTTTAACAAATTACTTTGAAAATATATTCATATTTAGAACCAAAAGATGTTGAGATAGCCTATTTAAAAATCTTGAAGGTATTTTTTGTGAGGAAAAATGCAAACTGACAGGGAGTTTAAGCTATACTGTGATTTTTTTTCTTAGCTAGTAGTAGCTGAAGTATGTTTATAATGCATACAGTCTTGACTAAGTCATCTTGGTTCTCTATTACTGCTTTTTTAAAAAAAGCATTTTGTGTGTATGTATAGTGTGCATGTGTGTATGTCTTCCTTGTGTGTGCCTGGTGCCTTTGGAGATCAGAAGACAGCATCAGATTCCTTGAAACTCGAGTTAAATATGGTTGTAAGCTACCATGTGGGCACAGGAAACTGAGCCTGGGCCCACTGCAAGATCAATAAATACTTTTTAACAGCTGAGCCATCACTCCATGCCCCCTTTAACTCTACTTTTAAAAGTGTTGTTTTGAAATTTAACCAAATAAACAAAAGTCTGGGTTATTGACTTGTTTTGTTTCTTGATGTGTGCTCCTCAGTGAATTCCTTTTTTTTTTTTTTAACATTGTATAAATAATAATACATTGTAGTCAATGTCTCTTTTTTGTGTGTGTGGGGGAGGGTGTAGGTGAGAACAACTGCAAAAGCTGTTCTGTTTCAGTTCTTCCACCAAGTTGGTTACATGGATCGAATTCACTAGGTCACCAGGCTTGGGGGCAAGTGGCCCTTCCTCATTGAACTGTTTCACTAGCCCTAGAAATATGTGTTTTAATGGTTAGAAACATCTACACACTCAACTTTTTTTTTTTTTTTTTTTTTTTTTTTTTTTTTTTTACTTTAGGTAGGGGTCTCACCCTATTGTTTTATATTGAACTAGTAATGATCTTCTTGCTTCAGCCTCCAAGTGCTGAGGTTTATGGGCATGTAGCACGATGCTTTCTCAAGGTCATATCTGAGCACTTATTATAGGGATAACTTGTCTATTATGTGCTTTGCCTACTGTGATAGTTTTTCTAGTCTGAAAGAGCATGGCCAGTTTAGTATTTTGTTTAAAAAATCAGTTTGTATTCTTGGGACATTAGCTTGATTAGAAATTAGAAAACTAACATGAACTGATTTTTAACTTTTTTTTTTTTAGCAAACAAATATAATTTTGCACAAACAAGGCATTGAAAGTATCTGCATTTCAGATTACTGTGTATTGTAGAAAAACTTGCCAGATTATATAATTAGTGTGTTAAATTCAAAACATTGTTCTTTCTTACAGGGAATGGTTCCATTTGTGTTTGTTGGCACTAAAGAAAGTATTGGAAATGTACAAGTTCTTCTAGAATATCACATTGCTTACTTAAAGGTATGTGTGTATACAGTTCCCATTGTATTCTTGTAGCATCTCTGCTGCAATTGTGTGTGAACATTGTATACTTGATATAAATAAGGTATCTACTTGTTGAACATGCTTATTCATGGTAATATTAGGGTATTTAAATGTTTTTAATTTCTTCAGTTTTGCCTGGATTTTGTTGAATACTTAGAGAGTAAAATGTTCTTTGCCCTTATACTTTTTGGGGTTGGGGATGGTTTCTTTTGAGTTTTTAAGGTTCTTTTAAAGAAGTGACTATTCTTTGGGTTTGTAGTTTGTCATTATTTACAAAGGCTGTGTGCTCTATATTAGGGGCAGTTTGTTTCCATTTTCACATTTTAGCCATCTACACACAAGGTGAAATTGGGCATCTTTGATACCTCTGGTATTATTTGAGTCAGCTGCATTGACCCCAGAAGATGTTGTTCCATCAATTCTGAGGGTAGAAATGAGTTGCTGGAGATGCAAACCAGAGCTAAGTGTATGGTAAACAAAAGAGGAATAGCCTCCAAGCTGCACCCTTATCCCCCATTTATTAGATTTGAGACATAATGCACAAGAGTTGGAGAAAAGGAAGTGCCTCTAAGTAAGCATCATAGTTTTTCATTTTTTTTTCTTTTTTTGTTCATAGTAATATCCTAGAATGTTCTCTACTTCTAGTGAGTATAGTTTCCTCCCAGTCTCTGATATCATTGTTGTACTGGTATTTTATATCATTCCATTTCTTTGAATTCTATCAGTTCTGGCCTTGTAAGCAAATGCTTTATGTATTCTACCTCCAAGCCAATAGTTTAATTTAGATGGGTTACCATCACATGTTGCAGGACCTCAATTAGTAAATGATAATTCTGCTTGCCCATCTAGGTGGTAAATAATTAAAGGTATTGCTAATCTGATAGTAAAGTAGTTCATTAATAATGCATTTAAACAGACTATTGACTCCCTGTTACAGAGACAGTATCTGGCCAATGAGCTCGCTCAGTGGAGAAAGGTATTTGCAGCCAAAGCCTTAAAACCCACATTGTGGAAGGAGATCTTCAAGTTGTAGTTAGATCTCCACATGCACATGGTGACATACACTTACATGTGCGCACACAGAAGCATAAGAGTGAAAACGAACATTTAACAGATTGGTTAAGTTTATTTTACGTTCACTTGAAAGAGAAGTGTATATGCTGTATGCTTATAGCAATATGTTGAACACACCTCGAAGCATTCAGTGTTTGAGTTGACCAGCATATGACCTTGTGAATACAATTCTGCTTTATGAGATAATTTCAAAGATCAGTTTGTTTCTTTGGTAGATTGTAAAATTCTAGCTCTGAGTGTCCCCTGCCCCCACCCCACCACCAACAAAAAACTTACAGAACTTAAGTCAGTAGGTAGGGTAAAGGTGTTTTCCCCAGTCTTAACATGGTCTCACATGTGTACATGTAAACAAATAGCAAAAACAATTCTTTGTTTTTAATTGTAGGAAGTGGAACAACTGAGAATGGAACGCCTGCAGATTGATGAACAGCTGCGACAGATTGGTATGGGTTTCAGACCTTCTTCCACCAGAGGGCCTGAAAAAGAGAAAGGATATGCCACTGATGAAAGTACCGTCTCTTCTGTACAAGGTTCTAGGTCTTATAGTGGAAGAGGCAGAGGTCGTCGGGGCCCTAATTACACCTCCGGTTATGGTAAAAAGAACATTGTTTTATTTCTGTACTAATTTGTAGTAGTGGTTCTAGTTTAGATGCTGCATATATTTTTCTACTAGCTCTCATTTGTTTTTGAGGGTGAAAGTTAGTTTGTGTTACTACTGTTACATACTAGTGACAGTGAAAGGTATATAGCTTACAGACAGCTACATAATAAAATAAAGCATGCTTTTAAGCCAGTAGTTCATAATGAATATGTATAAAGAATCAATGGGTATAGAGCCTATGTTCTAAGTAGTGTAGTTTCATACATTTCCTGTAGATTTCTAGTATGGTACTGCCAGCTGTAAGAAAAACACAAGTGAAAAATAAACTGATCTCTAGATCAGTGTTACATACAATAAATCTTTAATAGCTTTGAAAATAGACTTTTTTGATTTGGCAGGTTTGAATGTTTTAGTACCTTGTGTGTAACTATTTTGTGTAGTAGCATTTCCTGAAGACAGTTAATATTTTATAATGAACATTTTATAAGCTCTGTTTTCACTTTGAAGCTGGGGGTCTAACCTGGGTAGGAACAGATCAGTGGATCCTGTGGCAGTTAACAATTCTCTAATCTTAAATTCTTATTTATTCTTGTTTAGCTCTGGAGTTGTTCCATCTTTCTCCATTTGGACTTGGATCTTAGCAGTGACCTACCTGATCCTTCTGCCCATCCCTCCTCATTTCCTTTTCTGTTCTCTCACTCTCTTCTCTAGAGTGTTCATCTTGTATAGAGGAAATAGGTCAAAATAGGAAGTATTTACAAAGTAGAGACGAATACAGGGCAGGTATTTGCACTGGGCAGGTTCAGATCCAGACTTGTTTAACTGAGGAATCTAATGATGGCAACAGTTGCAGTGCACCTGTACTATCTTTTACTTGTTATACAGGTGGAAGACTAAGTATCCCTTCTTTTTAGTTTTGTAACCTTCCATTATCTCGTTTTCTTGATGCATTTTCATAAACACAGTATTGAAGTTTCTGAATAAGTGTTTGTGTTAAAGATGGAGAATTGTAAGCTAATATATTTCCAAAAGTATATTTAATACCAGTAATTAAATAGAAATCAGGTATATTTATATTTTTAAATCCTAAATTAACATATAGTTAGATGTGGTTTTACATGGCAAGAGTGAGAAAAACGCCTGAACAGCTTGATTAGTGTCTGAGAACTTTGCTTATTGATGAGGGAGTCACTCTGGCAAATGACTGAGGAGTAGACAATAAATGTATGGGAAAATGGCAAAGGGGAGTCCTCTGGGTTGGAGAGCGCTATACAGATACTTCAGTAGAGGGCAGACTTAACTTTGTGGAATTAAAAACAAATGAAGAGCATTTGAATTGTATTGAATCAAAAGGACTAAGCAGTAATAACTATAACAAACATTACTAGTAGAACATTTCTAAAGTTGTGCTAAATTTAGTTTGCATCTTAGAAGTTTATCACATCATGGTTATGATAAAACATTTTTTATTTATTTTTACATTCCAATCCCACTTCCCCCTCCCTCAATAAATTTATTTTTGGTGTTTTCGAGACAGGGCTTCTCTGTGGCTTTGGAGGCTGTCCTGGAGCTAGCTCTTGTAGACCAGGCTGGTCTTGAACTCACAGAGATCCGCCTCCTGAATGCTGGGATTAAAGGCATGCGCCACCACTGCCCGGCAACAAAACATTTTTAATGTAAGCTTTTATCACATGAGCATTTAAAATGATGAGAGTGGTAGTTAGAGGTTGTAGAGAAACGTTTGATTATAAAATTTGGCTAAAAACTAAGCAGTGATTGAATGTCATGGCTCCTTTTTTCTGGGTTTTCTTTCCTTGTATCCTGCTTGTACTTACAAGATTGAGAGGTTGAAATGGCTGTATTGTTTTCATCAGAGCAGTAATTAATAACCTAGAGCAACTTAGAGGTGTGGGCAGCACAAATTTATCATTGTAAAGCTGACCATTGCCTCATTGGGCTAACCTCTTACATCACCTGGACTGCTGCCAGGTTTGTGGTTTTTTGGAAGTTTGGCAGAACCTGCTCAATTGACATTTCCAGATTCTAGGGAACGCTTTATTTCTTGGCTTTATGACCACCTGCCTCTATTTTTTAAAACGTCAGTGACTACAGAGTTCTCATGCTGTCATCTTAATAACTGTGAGACCTGTGAGACAGTTTGGGACCACCTGGATATTTTAGGACAGTCTCCTCATGCCAAGTTTGAATCTTACACTTTTTGTGATCATAAAACACATGTATTGGCGAGTTCATCAACAACTTGGTTTTTGTAGTATTTGTCTCACAAAATCAATACTGTATTTATGTTAAGTTTAAGGAGTAATTTCCTTGCTTTTATCCTTAGGTAGGATAAAATAGTTTACTAGGCTTATCCAATTTTACATTTTAACAAATTTGTACTTTTCCTGTCTATGAAGATTTCAATTCCTAACATACTTGAGAGTGAAAATCTTTTCCTCTGTAATTTGTTTTGGTAGAGTTCTTTATTCCCTGCACCTTATTACTTCCCTTTTAATATCTAAAGAACACTAGTGTTTTACTACTATTTTTAAATACTCATGGAGTTTAAATAAAGTCAAATTTTAGGTCTTTCATGTGACAGATTCATTCATCATGGGGGAAGTTTTGCACATTTGGGACACTGATAAGATTAAGATGAAGCTTTACCTTTTTGACAGACCAATCAGATCTATAGAGGAGAATGTTGAGAACAGTAATGAATGACATGATAGACAAATAGTGAAATAAAAGAAGGGCAAGGGTCCTGTTTTCAGTTCAACTAGTTTGCATTTAGAAATCAACAATTTCTGAATGAGATAGACATATGGACTTCATTTCAATGGCCCTGTCTCTGTTCTGTTGTTAGGTAGTTTCTCAGAAACATGAATGTTTTATATTGCCTCAGATACTATGTATGGTAACTGACAAGTAAACTCCCAGCTTTTAAGAAACACTATCAGTTGTAAGAAGTGTTCTGAGTTTAGAAATGTTAAAATATAAGGAAAAATATACACTCTAGTCAGTAATAATACAAACACTATTGATTAAAACTTAAAATTTCCTGAATGTGATTAAATTTATTTTTAGGTATTGGGTAGCATTTGTACTGACGATTTAAGCTATCAATTTAAAAATGAGCAGAAACCTTGACATTAATTGCATTTTGATAATGTACATTTCCTATAATTGTTAGTTGAATCTGATAATTGCATGTTAAATTTAAAGTTTTTAATTTTGCTGTCTTCAGAGCAATCACTATGCTTATTTTAAATAATGCTTAGTGGACAGTGTTTTTGAAAAATTTTAAGCATCTATATATGTGCACCTAATTGTTTTACATGTTGTCTTCTCTCTCCCCTCCTACCCCCCAAGGTACAAATTCTGAGCTGTCTAACCCCTCCGAAACAGAATCTGAGCGAAAAGATGAGCTGAGTGATTGGTCATTAGCAGGAGAAGATGATCGAGAGACTCGACATCAGCGAGACAGCAGGAGACGCCCAGGAGGAAGAGGCAGAAGTGTTTCTGGGGGTCGAGGTCGTGGTGGACCACGTGGTGGCAAATCCTCCATCAGTTCTGGTAGTCTTTTACATACTACGTCAGCATTTATGCTTTGTAAACAGTATAACCCTACAAGAATTACTTCCTTCCTCAGAGCCACACATTTTTGGAAGTTTGTGATTCTGCTTACTGACTTAGAGAAAATAATAGACTGTAGCAATTAATAGAGGAAATGTTGTCTAGAGTAATATGTAAGTCAGAACTTTCAGTTGCCTGGTTTCCTCTGCTTTGAGAATTATATTTATCCTTCCCATTTTGAAGTTCCTTGTTTTCCCAGTAATTCTTTGCTACAGTTTGAGGACAGAAAAATGTGGATTTGATTCTGTTTTGTTTTATTTTATTTAAAAATTGATCTATAAAGAGGAGTATAGAGGGACTGAAAAGGTTGGCTCAGCAATTAAGAACAGTTACCACTATTGTAGAGTAGGGAGTTAAGCTTCTAGCACCCACTGTGGGCTGCTCACAACCCCGCAACTCTAGCTCAGGGGGATCTCATGCCCTCTTGTGGCATCTGTGGCCACCTGCACATACATGTGTGTATGGGTACAGCACATGTTCATAAATACAGTGTGTAGTTGTATCATATGTTTAAGCATCTGTTGTCTGTGGTCATTTGATTTTTTTTTTTTTACCATTGTGTGGCAGTTGTTGCCAGAATGTTCTTTATGAGCAGAATGAACAAGAAGGGATGGTTTTTATTTTAAAGCACTATACATTAATATTATTACTTGTATTTCCTTTAAGAAGGTCACACTTTATGATTAAATAATCTCATTTAAAATATTTGAAATAATATTTTAAATCTTTTAGAATATTAGTCTTTGCATATTAAAATCAGACCTTTGTGGCCCATGCCTTTAATCCCAGCACTTGGGAGGCAGAGGCAGATGGATCTCTTGAGTTCATGGCCAGCCAGGTTTCAGAGCGACCCCCAGGACTACTACAAAAAAAAGCTGTCTTGAAACACCCCCCCAAAAAAAACAAACATGTTAATATACAAACAATAGAACAAATTAGCATAAAATGAAGGAAAGAGTGTTTAGCTCTAATTGGATCCCAGTTGTCATTGTACCCTAAGTTTAGTTTTATCTAGGAAAGTTTAGCTTAGTTTTTTTCAGGAAAGTAATTTTTGTATTAAAATGTATACTGTTGCTTTATACAATTTTATTTTGTGGAAATGCAAATATTTGTATTTACCTAGTGCTATGACTGATAAACTTAGTATCTTTTGCAAAGATGCTAGCTTGCTAGCTATTATCAAATGAATCTTAGGAGTAATGGTAATTGGGTGAATTTCTTCTGTAATTTGAGTGTTGGAAGCAGTAGATGTACATAGGTAAGACAGGTACTTTTCTTTCTATTCGTATCTTGAAACAATTCCTTCTAACTTCACTAGATGCTTTGTTCTTAGAATTAGATTACAGGATACATCTGTTTCAACATTGTTCTTTACACAACCCTTATTATTTCATCCTGACTTTAGTTTGACACCTGTGTAGACTTGTTTTGGTTACTTCAGTTAAGTTAGTTGATTTTTTCTTAGGTCTTGGGTACAGATACTGAATTTTATTTGCAAATAGTCCATTAGCAGCAGTCACCTTAAAAGTTGTAAAGGGAAAACCAAAGGCTTTCTTAGAATCACTACATAGTAGTTGCTTATTTCTCCTAATTTATATTTTTCTACCCTCTGGGTAGGATTAACTTTAAGAATGTGAATATCAGAATTAGATAGTATAGTATTTTCTGATATCGTTACCTTTCAGTATTATGGGGGATTGGTCTCAGGAGGATGTGTACACATCATCTGTACACACTGTTCTATATTATCTCTAGATTACCTGTGTCTGCGAAAATGCCATGTAAGTAGTTTAACTTTATTTGAGGGACAGCAGTAAGGAAAAATTATGCAGGAATAAAACTCTGTGTTAACTGTGAGTTTAATGCAAATACATCCCCTTATAGTTTCATCTGAGGATGTAGAGGGTTGACTATTTGTAAAACAATTTAAGGGAAATGGTATGAAGTGAAGAAATAACCTTATATCTTTTGCTTTACAATTTTCATTTCCATTAAAATTTTGTTAATCATCTTATAATTTTCAGATAAATTACTGATATTTTTATGGGGGGGTATAGAGTTTATTTACCATTAGTTGATGTAGTTCAATAGATCAAGCATTTTAACTGCAGACCTCTTAAATGAATATTTCTTGCCTCTGACATGAATATAGTGCTCAAAGATCCAGACAGCAATCCATACAGCTTACTTGATAATACAGAATCAGATCAGACTGCAGACACTGACGCCAGCGAATCTCATCACAGTACTAACCGTCGTAGGCGGTCTCGTAGACGGAGGACTGATGAAGATGCTGTTCTGATGGATGGAATGACTGAATCTGATACTGCCTCAGTTAATGAAAATGGGCTAGGTATGTAAGCATTTAGGGAAAATTTGTGTGTGTGTGATTGTATTCTACTGATAATAGATGATTTTTTTAAAAAGTATGCAATTCACAAATGATTTTTTAGTGCTTACTTTAAATGAGGGAGATAGCTGCTTGTCTTGGGTGTCTAGTTTTCATATTTGTCAAACTATCTGAAACTGGGAGAATTAATTAAAGTGTCCTTTCATTAAATTACCATTATCATTAAATCAGTACAAATACACAGTCGATCTTATTGTCCAGAAACAATGTAATTCTTTCAGCAACCCCTTTTAATAATTATGGTACATTTTGGGAGATACATGGAGTGAGCATTTCTTAAAGGGCTAAAATGTCATTAATTTTGAAATCCAAAATTAGTTGGAGAGAAATTTTATTCTGAATGACAATGGTAGTTTCAGTTACATATGGCAGTTTGTTTCATTATGAGTTAAAAGCCCTCTTAAGCTCCAGAAAGGAATGCTTTATGCTACAAAAATGTATATAATCCTTTGTTGATATTGTATGCTTTACCTTCAATGTTTAATTAAAAGTTTTTCTTTCCCTTTCTTAAATAAGGGAAGAAGTTTTTTGTTTGTTCTTTTTTTGTTTTGTTATTTTTTTTGCCAGAATAGTTGATGGTAAACTTTGCAATTACAGATGATAGTGAAAAAAAACCCCAGCGACGCAATCGTAGCCGCAGGCGTCGTTTCAGGGGTCAGGCAGAAGATAGACAGCCAGGTAACTTGAGTGGGCCTGTTGGTGTCAGGTCACAAGCATGAAAAAATGTCATGTGTCTGCATTCTAAATATAGTTACATGTTCACATGTGTGTATATACATTCAGAATTTGCATTGCATAAGCTATTCAACTAATGACACTGCTAAGAAAATGCATTCTTCCTTCAGTATAAATGTTTAGTATCCAGTCTTAAGTGAACTAATGTTGTGTCTTTCTTATATGGAAATACTTTCATGACTTTATATTAAGTTGGCATATTCCTCAAACTTAAGATGGGGATTGCCATTTCAGGGACTATATGGTGTGAACTGTGTTTGAGGTTGATTGGCAAAACTACCAGGCAGTTTTTGCATGGTGCCTGCTTACTATATTTAGATTGGGCGCCTTATTTTGGTGGGAATTAAAATACTCAAAATTTAAAAACAAAATGTAGAAGTGTCTTTTTTCCTTAAAAATGTAGTAGAATGCATGTTAATGTTTTTGTGTTATTGTAGTGTGGTGCGTTTTCCTTTACACATACTAATCATTCAAATAGTATTAGTTTCATTCAGTATTTTATGTTGTCACAAGTTTTGGTAACTGGAAAGAACCTTGTTTGCTATGTCTATATTATTTTGAACACAATTCATTTCTTATTGTACAGAGAATCACTGTATATTCACCATGAAGAAATTGTGTGCAGTAGAAATAAACCCCTTTCAAACCAATCAATTTTTGCATTCTTTCCAAAACATGTTCTTTCATTTGTTTCCCCAAATAATGTAAACCCTAAATCTTTTGAGTGTAGAGGTTGTAGAGACATTTGGGAAGTCCCATTCTGAAGAGTTGAAGTTTTAAAGATAGAGGGACGTGTAAAAAAGAATGGAACACCATCAAAGACTTCTCTTCCCTTTATACCTTTTCTTCCCCTTATTAATGTTAGAAATGTATTTTAGTTGAAGAGATCATGAATTTCAGTTTTGAAGGTGGCACAGCAGTGAATTTTTTCTGGCCCTACTTTGTAAATAAGAAAATTCACGCTATCAGTATGGGCTGATTAACCTGGAATACATTTCAGTATAACTTAAGCCAGTAATCATGGTTAAGTGTACAGACATAAAAATATCAAAACAGGATTTTTCTAAAAGAGTTAGATGGTTTTCTATGGAATTAACTGAAATGACTAATTGGAGTTTTGATACTTTGACAGTGATGTATGTGCTGTTGCATGCTACATCTGATCCTGTTTTCACTGTTCGTAAGGACCATTGTGTTTCCTCTTACCAGATTCCTTTATTTTCAGTCCCCCAGTTCTCCAGGTTCTTCTCTATCCCTACAGCAGTCCAGGGAGATAGCCTCCACACAAAGTTGATAGTTGTTCTTCCTTTGCCAAAAACTTCTAGTTGCTCTTAGTTGTATATAAATTAACTGTTGTGTGGACTTTCCTGTACTTAGACACTACAGGGTCCCGATTATGCCACAAAATTGTCTTTATATTGAAATTTAAGGGACTGTATTCCACAAGAACTATAAAACAAGTTTCTTAACTGGCTTCCTTTGTTTGGGGGCAAGGAACAGAACTAAATGCCACTTACTTAGCTTTGGACTCATAGCTACATCAAAGTTTTCATTCTGCGTAGGAGTAGGTGAAAGGGTCTAAGAACAGTTTGCACACATTTACATTGAGCAATATGCCTGTCTGTGCACCGGCATCTTGAAGTGGATGCATTCCTCCAGGTTTCACTCAAGTCTGCACTATGAAAACAAAATATTCATTGGAGTGTCCTCCACCCATGGGTACAGTCATTCTCAAGATAGTTCTGTCACCCTGTAGAGTAGACAATCTCCCAGAGTATTGCTAAACATGTTTATAAATTTCTTGACAGTAATTTTAAAATAAGCCATTTAAATGCTTCAGAATGAACATACTGAGTTCCTTATAATTTGGAAGAAAAGTCTGATTCAAGATACTTAATAATTTAAGTTCTTCAGTCTTAATGTTAGTTAGCACATGCACTATCAAGATGAATGAATTCTAAAATACAATTCAGCTTTTTATTGTATTATAATTTTAATAATTTTGATAGCTGCATGTAGTATAGTCTAATGGACTGATTTCCCCCCAGATATGTTGGCTTTAATGTAAAATTGATTTCTCTGTAATTTTTACAAATTGGGGTTATTCTTAAAACTAGTCTATGATAGAAAATAGTTATGTAAAATAAAGGATTTTGAGTTTTAAGTCCTGTGGCCACAGCATAATTCTAATAAAAAAAGGCCATTTATTAGTGTGATACAATGTATTCTGCTTCCTAATTCACTACTTAATGTGATGATCTTATGTTTAAGACCTAGCACAATAGCAGTGTTGATGGGACAGTATCTCTGTATTTGCTCTGTTCCTTTCCCACCCTGACAAGTGTCTAACTACATTAGGATTGTGATTTATTGTCTTAGTTTGCTTAAGACAAATATACTTCTTAAACTCAGATAGTTTAGATGTTGTCTAGCAGGAAATGTTAGGAAGCAAGGAACCACAAAATACCATACTTTAACAATTACGCTGTTTCTCTTGGTCCAGAGGGACAACCCCAAAACAAAACAAAACAAAACAAAAAACCACAAAACATTAAAATTTTTATTCATTCCATCATGATTTGTGCCAACATTGCCCCACCCCACCCCACACTAATTATTGCAAACGCCACACTACACTGCCCTGTAGTGCTTGTTCTTGGTGGTGGGTTGCTGCACCAAATTCATCCCATAGCTGGAGTCTTGGGAAAATAGGACTTGAATCTGGATTTCCTCAAGTTCCAGCTTGAATTTTCCTATTGTCAGTACCAAAATCATAAGCACATTTTTCCAATATGCTTTTGTTCAGCGGTGGGTACCCAGTGTAAATTTTTGAAATTGGGTGTCCCACTATTAGTTTACTTTAATAGTGAAATTACTCTTAATCCATAATAAAATTTAGAAATATTTTTCAACACCTGTAATTTTTTTCTCATCTTTAACAGTCACAGTTGCAGATTATATTTCTAGAGCTGAGTCTCAGAGCAGACAAAGAAACCTCCCAAGGGAAACTTTGGCTAAAAACAAGAAAGAAATGGTAAGGAGAATTTAACCTGTAGGGTTTTTGTTTTTGCTTTTTATTATTATTATTATTATTATTATTATTATTATTTCCATATTGTTTTAGATTTATTTATTTTTTACTTATTACTGTATGGTCACTTGTTTCCCCTAAAAGATAATATTTAAAGACGATCAGATCCTTTGTTCTATCCCAGGCCCTTGATGAATGAAGGTATGCATGCTTGAGCCTGAGACACTGGCCAGATAGATAGCACGTCAGCATTTACTTGATTTGCAATATACCTCTTGTGAGCAGTGGGAATAGCCCCTTTAAGTCTTAATTCTTTTAAATGTTTTCAGTGATGAATACATAAATAGAGTTTCAAAAAGGTGAGTAAAATGGATGATTGTTGTTTTACCTACTGTATTGACTGTTTACACCATTTATATGGTGAACTTTCCAGTGACTTAAAATAACACCAGGTGTAGGTTTCATTGAACAGTGAAGGTGCTTTCTGTGATGTGGGTACTCATAGGTACTAGAGATATTGTAGTTTGAAAACCCTGAGAATGGAGTGCGTTGGTATTTGTTTTAAGTTTAAAATGCTTTTTGTATGGCATATGAAAGTCACTTAAAAAAAAATAATGTTTATGTAGTTATTTTCTTCCTCGGCTACAGATTTCTCTATAAAGATGTTGAAAAAGTTGTCTCCCTTTGACAGGCAAAAGATGTGATTGAAGAGCATGGTCCTTCAGAAAAGGCAATAAATGGTCCAACTAGCGCTTCTGGCGATGAAATTCCTAAGCTACCGCGTACTCCAGGAGAAGAAAAGACTAAGAACTTAAAAGAAGAAAGCACTCAAGAAGCAGCAGTCCTGAATGGTGTTTCATAACTGAAGGAAGTTCCTAGTTTACAGTTCTTTTACATTACAGTTACAATAGTGCTTGTACAAGCTTGCCAAAGATAGAATATGGATCGCCAGTCTTACATCGCACTTTCAGTTCCTCCATTTGGAATTCAGAAAGGGGAGGGATCCTGAAGAAATCATATGTTAAACATACTTTGACACCTACTGTGTTAAAAATATATCATCAGATGTGCCTTGAGAATAGTATATGTAACATTAAAAAAAGTTGCTGGCTATAGGAAATGTTATTTTGTTTTCAAAATATGGCAGAGATGGGGGGAGGTGGGTGGGGTGGGGTCCCTAACGTAATATTCTTTATGAAAGCATTAGCTGCTTTTGTTACATTTTTAATAATATGCAACCACTTCTTCACCTGAGGAAAACTAGAATGAAGCAGTTTAAAATATTTTGCACTGAATTGTAATTTCTTCATTATAGTTTAGTCTGGAAACTGGTCTGTTATGTGTTTTTTAAATGCTGTTTGTAGAGGCAAGTCTGCAGACCACTGGAATACATATGTTAACTCATCTGCAGGGACACTGGGTGATATTGGCAGTGACTGTTCTTCATTGAGGCTTTGTTTGGTTTATTTATTAAAGTGTACAGTATTTAAAAAAAAATCAAACATAGCTTTAGTTGAAACACTAAGCTGATTAGTCATGTCCATTCAGACATAGCCTGAACTACTGAAAAGATCAATTTCCAGAGGGTTTATTCTGTATAAACTACATGTTTAGTCTTCAGTAGAATATCTCTCACATTTTCTTTTTCCCCTTTTTTTCCTCCCCCCCTTTTTGATTTTGGTTGTTTGATGTGCAATATGTTTTTGTATGCAGGTAGTAAATAAACTTTGATCTTCCATTTGCTGATTTTAACTTTCTACTTTTTATGCCCATTGTTTCAAAGCAGTAGGACCACTTCACAGGCCTAGAATAGATAGTATCCTTGGATTGCTTTTCAAAAGCATTTATTCTGCCTCAGATCTAGTACTAAAATGCTAACCATTTAATTATTTTGTAATGAACCCTCTAAAGTCTTAACACTTAATGTTGGCTGTTAAATGGTTTAGAAAATGTATGTCTTTGCTGTTGGAGAAATATCTTCATAGTAATTCTAACCAAAAGCAAGTTGTGGAAGATATGGGAGGCAGAAGTTAAGCATTTACTTTTGCCTTCAGTTCGCCATTAAAAAACTATTTTTAAAGTATGGTAAGCAGTTTTTAAGTAGTAGGCCAATAATGTGCTTTTTGATTAACAAGGAAATGATTTTGAAGGTTCTTATACCAGTGATTGCAAATCATTAATTAAAAGTTTAAAAATAATTCATTCAGAAAACATAATCTTATGAAGAGATTTTTTTCAGGTGCAAGTGTAATGATAAATGTATATTGCTGTGGTTGTTGATCAGATGAAATATTTGTGGACTTAGTGTTACATAGACTGCTGAAGTGCTTTAATTTTGTCATATGAAAGTTTTTTATGTGCATAATTTGTTAATTATGTTCATAAAATGATGAGCTTATTTTATAAATGAACTGAGGGATAATTGACATATCGTTACAAATGGACAGTTTGCTCATCAGTATGTGTGTATAGCTATAGCCTATTTCTATCTCTTACATTCTAATTGAGATTAACATGAACTGACACTAGATTTTTTTCTTGAAATCTTAATAGTCCTGATAATAGAACTTTTAAGTGAGGTATGTATAATGAAATTCTTCCACCTTGTATATCAGATTTAAAAAACCATACCTCATTTTGAAAGTTTTGAAAACAATTTCAATAATTGACTCTTTAAATTACTTAGTTCTGTGTATGTGGGTCATAAATTTAACTATGAAGCATTGAAGAAAAAGAACTTTGTTTTTAATGGGAATTAGTGTTTTACTACTACACTACATTCATAGCTCACAAAGGATTTTAATTTTCAAGCTGGGAAACATGTTATTAAGTATAGTTTTTCATTTTTTACATGTCAGATTCCCTACAATGTTTTTGTCATACAGATTATCTTTAAAATGAAGTGTAGCTGAATCACTTGAGCTGGAGTTAGTAATCAATTCTTTAAGATCTGAGACTTCATTACCCGAAAATAACCACCCAGTGACTTGCCCTTTAAGTATTAGCCCCAGAGAACTGTCAGATTTGTTTTTTTCCTTCTTGCAGATGGCTTGGTCAGAGATTTTTTTATATGTCAGTGAAAATCCACTTCCCCAGAGATAACATGTTGATTCAGGTTGCTTTTGATACTTTGGCTGCCACTTTGGTTAGACTGAGTGGAAATCCTTGATTTAGCACATACTACTAAATGTGAAAGCAGAAAGTATATTCTGAAAGGTTTTGGTAGCTTCAAGCACTGAGGTATGGGGACCCATGAGGTTACATGTAAACCTTAAATGAATGTCAAGTGCAGATTGTGTGAGGGTCAAAAATTATCTGCTTTTCGTGATTGGTTGGGGTAGGGGAGTAAGGTAAGGATTCTGGGATTCTTGTGTGCCCCACCCCCTAAAAAAGGTTCAAGCAAGGATGCAGCATCCCCCTCCCCCCCAAAAAAATGCCATAGATGCCTTAATTCTAAAGTTTTAATGTGGAATTCAGCAGCATGTCAGTCCAGTGACTTCTGGGGAAACTACCAGAGGTGCTGCTGAGACAAAGGCAAGGGATTTCGCTTAATTGAATTATTTTTTAAAATTGTAGGTGATAATGCTTGGTAAGCTGAGGAAATTAATAGTGAGGCACTGAGTCTGAAGTGAGAGTACTAGGTAGTTTACTCTTTTTCTGAGTCCTAGCACCCTTAACCAGAGTAATTGCTGTAGCTGACCATGATTTGACTTGGGCATTATAACCTGAGTAAAGTCAGGAGAAGTTGATAAGTCCTCTGCAGACATTGCAATTTTCTTGTGCCTCAAATAATTAGGATTCTTACAGACTAAGTCTGTGGTATATGTATGCTAAGGAAAAGCAAATGGGAAACTGATCATAATGTGTGAAGGCATGGGTCTGGTCATTAAAGGAACATTACATTGTACCTAGAGCTTTTTAGAGTTTGAAAGGGATATAGTGTATTTTATAATCTCATTCAGTCTTAATTTGCTTTTTTATGGCTTGTATTGTCCCATATATCAATTCACTACCTCCTAACAAGTTTAATTGCATTGTTATAGTTGCTCCTAACCCTTTTAATATGTTAAAAGTTTGGGTTTAGTCTGTTGGAATTAATTCCAGTTGGATACAGTAAATCTTTGAACAGGTGGTGTTAACTTGAAAGTATGTACTTCTGGTTGAAACACCTGTAGATTAGGGTTATTGTTGTTATTGGGGGTCAAAAATGACAGTGTTTTGTCAACCTAATTATATGTTTTAAGTGAAAGCACTAGAAATTAATAAGGAGTTGTTCTTGTCCATCAAAGCAAGATGATGGAGGCACATGTCGTAACCTCTAAAAAATTCACTTTTGGGTGATACTGGGTATTGAACCCAGGACCCTGTGCAAAAAGTACTTTGACACAGTTGTATCCTTAGCTTTAATAATAAAAAATAACCCTTTTAGTATTTGAAACAAGTCTGTGTAGCCCATTGTGGCTTTAAACTCCCAGGTGGTCTTCCTGCCTTGGGTCTTCAGTGCTGGGACTACAGGGATGAGCCACAATGTCCACCTGGCTGTACAGATACCTTCACTTCTGTTTTCTGTTCCACCCTTCTCGGAGTACCCGAGAGTACCGGCAGGCCTGACCATGATTTCCCACATACCAATGTCTACTTCTTTAAGATTTTGAGATGTTATAGATAAAAAAAACATAATTAGGAGCCATTTTGTGTCTGTTACTCTGTATGTAAGTAGCATTTTAACCATGTGTCCCATAGCCTTATGAGTATGAAAGTACTTAAAGTGGTGTGTGTTGGGAGTGTACATTTTGACAGAGTTTGGCTCAACACATAAAGAATCCCTTATTAAGCCGGGCGTTGGTGGCCCACGCCTTTAATCCCAGCACTTGGGAGGCAGAGGCAGGCCGATCTCTGAGTTCGAGGCCAACCTGGTCTTGAGATCGAGTGCCAGGATAGGCTCCAAAGCTAAAGAATCCCTTCTTACACAGTCTGGCAGCCCTTAGTCACAAGTATATATATTAGTAGATTTTTAAATTTCTCTGTATTTTGGTAATTGTACTTTGATGAATTCTAAAATTATTTACTAATCTTGGACTTTGAAACCATTTTTAGCAAACAAAACCAACAAAAAATAAACTTTCTACTAGGTATAAACTACCTGAACTTATATTCCTTTGGACTTCTATTTGGGTTGCCAGGCTGGTCCCAAGTACCTTCACCCACTAAGTCATCTTGCCTAAATTTGTTACTTTTAAGGAAAATTATTTTCAATTCCTACACCAAAGAATGGTAGCATGTTTATCAGGTTCCAGATTACACCATGACAGGACTCACCCTGTCATTGGGTCACGGGGATTTTGAGAAACACTAACATCCCAGTTCTAGGTCAGCAGATAAAAGGCATTGCCTCAGCAAAAACAGAACTGTGAGCATTGATGTCTCCTGTACTCAGGGTTACTTGTTCTAGTGTTTTTAGCCACTGAGTGTATTAAATATTTTTTAACTTAGCCTGTAATTTGTTTTATGTGCTGTTTTTTTGAGCCAAGTTGTAAATTTCTCTTAATGTAAAATTTCTCTTAATTATTTGAGGGTGATCACATTTAATCTCAGGTTTCTGAATTGAAAACTCATCTTTATAGGTCATCACCAGAAAAAGATGTGTTATAAATCTTATATCCGAGAAGATTCTGGTCTGATTAGTAATTTTTACTAATGCTGTTTGAAGTGAAACATTGTTTTATTTTATCACTTGTATGTAAGATTTAAGATGGGGCATATTCAAACTTAGCTTTACAGGATGGCAGTTCACAGGTGTGAGGTTTTACCTGAATTTTATTTTTTAGAAATACATTTTTATAAGTGTGGGATGCTTGTGCCATGGGACCCTTGGAAGCCAGAGCAATCTTGGGGGCTATTCACTCCATCAACTCTCAAGTAACTGAGCTTGCCAAGCTTACAGCAAGTGTCCTTAACCACTGAGCCATACGTTGTTAAGCAGCAATTCATTGTAATTTTCCCTAGTACTTGGCTCAGTGGTTCAGGAATGCACAGGTGTAAAGGGTCTCATATAACATTGTGGGCCTTCTGGAATAGTAGTTTACAAAATTTGACAGTGTTTTGTATTACTGCTTCCTTAAGTACTGTCATTTGGAGAATGCTCAAAGGCAAGAGAATTTGATAAAAATCCATGTTAGCCAAAGATAATTGACATTCAGGACTACTTGGTCTGCTTGGTATCATCAAAGAAGTAAAATTTCTAAAGACGGTAAGCTAGGGCTTCTTTTCCTTATAATGTCCACACCAAAGGCAAGCTGTGGACAGAGAACCAAACTGTAAATGAACATGATAAACTGGGAAGGACAGACCTATGGGTTCAATCATTGTTTTCATTAGCTAATCTTCATAAAATATGGAGGAATCCTTAAAACTTTCATTCCATTTATCCTTCTGTGTAAAGACTTAAGCTGGGGACAAAGCTCTGTCAGTAAAATGCTTGCCATTTAAGTGTGATCTGAATACTCTAACAGTGTGTTAGAGTTCACTGGCCAGCCCCCCAACCCCTCATCCCCCAATCCTAATAAGTGTTAGGTCCCAATGAAACCTGTCTCAGAAACCAAGCTGGGTGGCTCCTGGTGGAAAACATTGAAGGTTGGTGTCTGGCCCCCCACACCTTAGCCTTACTGTCTTGATTCCTGTGGTCCTAATGCTCTTAACCATTCGTCTCCATTTACAGTACCTAATGGAAATGTTGAGAAGTGCTTGGTGGCAAACAGTTCTATCCTTGGCCCCTTTTATGTGTGTGTAAACAATTGGACACTTAGCAAGTATCACCACAAAAACATGCTTAGATGATCAGATTAGAACTATAAAATGTTAAGTACAGAAGTTAGAGACATGGAATTGTGAATCTGAACAGAAACAAATTTTCACTCAGCCTTGTCTCCTTGGACACATGAGTAAATTTTGGTTTCCTAGTAGTGACCAATAATGCTTAGCACACTACAGGAGGCTTTAAGCACGAAGGAAAATAGCATGGAGAGGGACCTTTTACAGATATGTCCCTAAGAGCCCTTAACATGACATTTAAATGTTGTGTACCTAGAGCTCTTAATGAAATAGTTTCTTCAACTTGAAAAGGTAAGCCTAGAGAAAATGAAAGTTACTATCAAAGAATGAATGGTTGTGCTCCTTAGTAGGAAATGCTTTCAATGTTTTGGCACCTGTCTTCCAACAGGGATGCATAGCATTTGACACTCAAAGGTACTTACAGTTAATAGGTGACTGACTGCTTGTAGGCATATTGCAATACAATTTGTTTTTCAAAAATCTGCTTTTAACCAAACTCTTATTGCTCATAGAAACATTTAAAATTTTAATTTTCTATGTATGGATATTTTGCCTGCTTGTATGTCTGCACAATGTAGAGGCTGTGCCCAAGGAGCCCAGAAGATGGTATCAGATTCCCAGAACTGGAGTTAATAGGTGGTTGTGAGCTGCTATGTGGGCTCTAGGAATCAAACCTGGGTCCCCTGGAAGAAAGACTGGCTTAGAGGGTGGAGCCATCTTTTGCAGCCCTGGAACTTAGTTCAAATGTCCAAATAAAAAGTAAGCCATATTTTGGATACCCTCACCTGTGGATTCCTTAAGTGCATTTACCTCCTTGCTAACATAAAACCCACATCAACATTCAGCATACTTTGCTGATCATTTCTAATGTGCCTTCAGATGCAGTGTGTGCTGTGTTTGTGTTTTGTATTGGCGATTTCTCTAATCCTCCTAACTAGTGGTGGAGTGCTGTGTTCCTGAAAACAAGAAAGGCTGCATATGCCAAAGTAGTGCTTCCAGCTTTAATATTAATGAAGTCATGTTCATAGAGAAGTGTGTGCCTAGAAGCTCACAAGAACCTGCCAGCAACAGAATCTTACACATTTGCTAGTTTAGTATTATGGTGACTTACAGAACACAACTGCTGTGAATTACAGTGACCTGTACCTTCACCTGGACCTGTGTGATGGGGTTTGGAAGAGTTACTGCTATACAAAATCTCTAGAAGCTAGTTTTTATCACACACCATTTTAACACTAGTTGTAAGGACTCTGAGCAAGGGTATAAGACAGGAAGTAAATACAGAACTATTACTGTTAATCTACTATTAATATCATTAGTGCCCTTGGCCACATTCAGACACCACCTTGTTTACCTCTGCATGCTCTCATGAACTGAAACTTGAGGCAGTCTAAACTGCTGACAGAGTTAAATGCTATAGGGTCCACTGGCTAGGGATTTTACTTCCTGATCTATACGGGTCCTTAGATAATTTAATATTGGACTAAAAGTTACCTGCCTTAAAATGTCACTTGTGCCTTTAATCCCAGCACTCGGGGAGGCAGGCAGATCTCTGTGAGTTCGAGACCAGCCTGGACTACAAGAGCTAGTTCCAGGACAGCCTGAATATCAAAAGCACTTGCTTTTCATGTCTGTGATTAAAGACATGTACTACAACTGGCTCTCAATATTTTGAGAGGATTTTACATTTACAAATATACTTGGTCATAACAATTGTAAGTGAATTATGTAAAAGCATAGCAGGCACCACATATTTTTAATAGACTAAAGTAAAAAAATTACTAGTACCTATACACTGAAATGTTTTCTATTTATAGTTTTTAAGTAGCTGGGTGTGGTAGTGCACACCTTTGATCCAGCACTTGGGAAGCAGAGACAAGTCAAGCCCAGCCTTGTGTATGCATAGTGAGTTCCAGGACAGCCAGAGAGACATAATAGAAACTCAGTCTTATTTTTAAATAAAGTTTTAATGTATTGAAATATGGATTGCCAGTGTACTACCTAAGGAATTTAAGATTGGTAATTTTTAATTACAGTGTTGTAGTGCCTGGGCCAGTTGTATCTTGAGTTTTGCCTACCAAAAATCCCTGCCTGTCTCAATAGACTGCAGTAGGGCATTCTCAGAGCAAAGCCTTAGCCTTGAAGAGCAACACAAGTACTAAAATTTTATTAAGTAATAAACAGTGTTTATATTAAAATGGTATATGTAGTCATAATTGCTAATACTATAGTTTTGATTTGAAATCTTCAAATTCAAACAAAATATACAGACACTGATTTAGCTTATGCCAAGCCATTTTCACAAACTATAGCTATGAGGTATTTTATTATAAAATCATACTCATACATAGACTAATGGACTCAAAATTCATCACATTTATTTTTTAGCTTGACCTTCTAGTAAGTCTTTAGCTTCATTGATTTTGGCTGCTATATAAGGAGATCCTCCTATAGAAGAAAGGGGAGGGGGGAAACACAGTTTAGAGCACAGATTCTAAATCTGTCAAAAACTACTTGCATTTCAAGGGTCCGGGCCTTAACAGAAATATCTTCATTTTCTGAAAAGCAACTGATTATGATTAGGTCACTAAATTACAGGGTAAAATATTTGACCAATGGGAAGTTGTTTTGACACGAAATTTTATCTTTAAAAACCTTAAAATCTTACTGAAATAGGATTTAGCCGTTCCCACATACGTGTTTGAAACGAAAGCTTACTCATCACTGCCTATGTAAATGTGATCCACTGTTTGAAGTGGCCCCAGGGGCTTCCAGGCTTATGTTGGAAAGACCTATTTGCATTACATCTATCCTTTTGCTTCAGTTTTCCTCTTGATATTAGCTGACCCTTTCTAGTGTCATCTAGATTTATGGAGCAGTGTGTGATAGAATGTATGTGGATGGGCTCCACCTAGGCATCCTGAATGAACAGTTTAGAGCACTTAAGTAATTCAAGCCAAATTCCTTATACTGTGAAGACACATACTAAACAGTTTTCCTGTTTAAGCTTGACAACATTCTTTCCTACAAGCAGAAAGATTTGTGCATGACAAGTTTCTGTGTGGTCTTAGTTAAGAGAATACCTTGCTTTTACCAGCATGTCCACTATAAATGGAGGCCCTGTAAAAAGTTTTCCTTAATTAAAACTTAGCAGTTGGTTATTTATGAATCTAAGCAAAAATACAAGAAAACTCAAAAGTAGACCACAGCAAAATTCAGAGCCATGAGTTGGGATGTACATCCTTTAACCCCAACACTTAGGACTGGGGCAGGAGGATGGTCATGAGGTTTAGACCAACCTTGGCTACATAGTAAGATGTCTTAAAAACAAGCCAACCAAAATAGTATTTGTGACCTTCCTTACTGGAAGACATTTTATCAAACACAGAACCTAAAAGCAGTATTAATGTTTATTATTACTGCCAACTCAATGGCTCTTTTGTTCATTAAACCTTTGTTTTGGTGAGACAAGGTATCACTGCAGGGCAGGTTGGTCCCTGAGTACTGCAACTACAGGTGTATGTCACCATATCTGGTGGATTTCACTTATTTAAGACACCTGGGAGACTACTCATCTGTATATTTAGACCAAGAATTAAGTTTCCCCATTAATAGCAGTGTTTAATGAAAATTGCATGGTTACTTACCCTTGTCTGGGTGGTTTAAGAGCATGATCCGTCGGTGAGCATCCCTGATCTTCCCTTTATTGGCAGTAGGGCTAATTTGAAAATGGAAGCATAAATTGAACACATATACACAGCTATGCAGAAGGGCCAGATTTAATACTGTTTATAAACCTCACACAGATGTAAAATGCATTTTCTAAATCAGAACCAGTGCTTAAAACAAAACAGTGCTTAAAAACAAAACTAAATGTAGTTGACCTGACAATCCTTGTTCAACATTTCATTTGCAATTACAGGAAAATACAGGAATTACCTTATCCTTTATCATATTAATAACTAGTAGAAATCTTACCTGACACCTAGTATTAATGCTGCCTCGCGTTTTGTCATTTTGGGTTCAAACCCACCTCTATAGTACCCACCACTGAAGGCCTGAAAGGAAAATTGGATTGGAAGGAAAGATTAGTGAACTAAATGGAAGGTTGGTTAAATCAATTGAAAAAAAAAGTTTCAGAGACCTACAAGTATATTTCCCAAGGTATTTTAGCTTGATGCGTGGTAACTATTATAACAAGTATTAAACATTCATTTCTTCTAGCCAAACTGGAACAAACTGTCTTGCAGATAAAAGACAAGAACAAAATCAGGAGTGAATGGAGACCCTTGTCACCCTTATTCTCATAAAACAGCAGTATCACACCTGATTCAAGGCAGCCCCTAAAAATGAGTTTATGGTAGGTAGTGCAGGGGAAATGAGGGTAGTGAGGTCCACCAGGACCTCAACCTTAGCAGGAAATAATGGACACCAAGGTCTTAATGTTGCTGCCCAAGCTGTCCATGATGTGAGGGGCAGCAGCTGTGTGTGCTGTTTTAATGTAGTTACATTCAACAGCATGGCAATGCCACATATGTCTCATGTGACACAGCAGATCCCAGAAGACAGGTGGTAGACAGATGATAACCCTGTAAAGTCACCCACCCTGCATTGTCACATGTGACAACTGATTGCTAGTGTGGCACCACTACAAAGTTTGCAACTCCTCACTGGACCTGTGGGATTCAGGCTATAGGGCAGTTCCAGTCTTGAGATACAGGCAATACATTTAGCAAAAAAAGTCTTACAGATTTTGGTAGGCTTTGAAAAACTTGTTTTACTTGAGGCTCCACATGCTTCACGGCTTGTAAAACATAACGGCCTAAAACCAAAATCAATACAATAAGCAAATTAATCCATAGCCAGTCTAGTCTTCCACCCCCCCACCCCAAACAAACAAACCTGCAAATCCTGCAGCAGCAATGGTCAGTCCAACCGCTACCACTGTACTGGCCTGGTAAAGGAGGGAAAGAGTAGTAAATCTTAACTTCTCTAACTGCCACCAATTTTCTATCCAAACTCATCACAACCCTGAGCTCATCTCAGTGAAAGGTGGGTTCTTTTTTCCTTTTGGGGGTGGGGGTAAGATCTAGGGTGTTACACATGCAAGGTGCTATACTGGTGGGACTTCTTCCAGCCTTTGTCAAAGTTCCGTTTATATTGAGGCGGTCTTGCTAAATTGTCCAGGCTGGCCATGAATTTGCGATTCTTCTGCCTCAGTGTCCTAAGTAGGTGCACTAAATAGAGTGCAGCGCAGCACCGGGCCTGCTGGAAGAAAATATATAATATATATAATATATATGCCATATATATTATATATATTATATAGTCTTTAAAACTGCATTCTGACGCTGTGCACGATGGTGGGCTTTTAATGTCATTTAATCCCAGCACGTGGGAGGCATTGACAGGTGGATCTCTTGAGTTTCTAGAACAACCAGGGTTATTACATAGTGAGACCCTGTCTCGAAAATTAAAAAAAAAAAACAAAAAACTGCAATTTTGATAACACAATTTCCTGTCGGGTGTGGGATTTTCGCTAACAAGGGTAAGTCAACCTCCGCAACAAAAAGGGCGATTTTTCAGACGTCGAAGAGAACTTTTAACCCACAGGCACTAGAACCTCAATAAAGTTTAAACAAGAGCGGTGGAAATAAGATTTCTGCTGAGTTAGGAAAAGGTGTTTGCAAAGGCTCCCTGAAAGATTCTCACAGGGCACTTCCATCACTAAGGATTTGTTGTGGGGGTTAACAGGCCGACCTCCCAGGAGGCGCGAACGTTTCCCTTCAGCGGAGATCGGGGTGTGGGTTGGAGCCCGCGGGAGGCCGGAGCAAAGGTCTGTCTTGGCTTCGCGCCCCGGCAGCGCGCGCCCCCCCCTGCCGAAGCCCCCAGCCACAGCACGCCTGTGGAGAGCGCAGCGGCCCAGCCAACGCCGCCGCGGGGTCCAGCAGCCAACGCCGCGCAACACGGCAGCAGCGCCGAAAAGCGCCTCAGGAACTGTCGCACAAGGTGCTGCAAAAGGGGCCCAGCAACTCGGGTTGACTCGAAGGTCGGACGTGGGCGGGGCTTGCCGTGCCCTCAACCCTGGGCTTCTGAAGATTTGGAAGTCTAATGCCTGTCCCTAAAATGAGTTTTCAGGCTAAAACATACCGCCTTAATTTTGCTTTATATAGGTTTTTCCGTCCATCCTATAAAAGTAGCGCTGTTTATCAGATGAAGATATTCTCATGATACATTTTGTTTTCTATCCACGTGCTATGTCTCAGTGCATTTTTGGCTACGTAATGTGCTCTGTGGCCAGAGAATATAAAGAAGCCAGGACGCTGATCTTCATGGCCTGCAGAGATACCTTTCTTCTTTTGACATAGAACTTAGGTCTATAAGTAGGTCAAAAATTGTATGGAAAATTAATTTTTCCATCTCCTTTCTTGGTGTCTTCTTTAGGCTACACGAATTTGTTCACTAAAGAACACAACTGCTGTGTGTTCATTGTTTATTTTCTGTATCGTTCTGTTTTAGGCCGTGCTACTACTTTTCTAATTAAAAGAACTGCTGTATCTGCGTTGCCCTGAGCACATGGTTGGTTGGCCAATGTCATGTATGATTTACCCTTGGTTTGCTTTTAGGGGTTTTGTAGTTTTCTGGCTTTGATCCAATGTGAGTTGCTTTTTCTGTTCAGCATTAGGCAAGTGGTTCCATCATTTTGCAAATATTTGAGTAGTGTCCCAAGCATTGCTTGTTGGAACAGTTCCTTTTTAAGTGGTAGAGGTTAGGGTGAGCTTTCGAAAATCACATTGTAGGGGTTTGGCAGTAATGAATAGTTTGTAGGCCATAAGCTCCAAGAAGTTGAGACAGAGGAGGTCATAGCAACAGGATCCAGTGTCAGTGGCCATGTCAGAAGAGACACAGGTGACCATTGATTTCAGTGGATCAGCCCACCAGGAAGCAAAGCTCTGATGGGTGAATCTCGGATAGGTAAGGCCCTGATAGCCTTGGTCCCAGAATGTCTCTTTCTACTGTTGTGTCTTTGCATGTTTGACACTGCCATTTTTTTTCCTGGTATCTGGCATGGTGTGAATGGGTGTGGGGGAATGCACATTATTTTAAGATTATCTTATGGAAATATCCCATTCTCCCAGGCATTTTTACCTGTGAATTATTATGAAGATGATTTCTTCTTAAGATGTACTGTTTAAAGTGTTGCCCCTGCTGTGGAATAATCCTTTTTGTACACTGTGAATATGTATTATTCTCATTGTTAATAAAGTACTGACTGTCCAATAGCTAGACAGGAAGAGGTTAGGCGGTAGAGCATAAGTGAGAGGATGCTGGGAAGAAGAAGGGTAGAGTCAGGAGGAGCTGTCAGCCAGACACAGAGGAAGCAGGAAATTGAACATGCCTTTTGGAAAAAAGGTACCATGATGTGGTCGAGCATAAGTAGGAAATATGGGTTAATTTAAATTAAAAGAGCTAGTTAGTAATAAGTCCAAGCTATCAGCTGAGCATTTGTAATTAATAATAAGTCTCTGATAAAGCAGGAAATGTCACACAGCTAGTTCCTCTTCAGGAGCTGTATAGACTGGCTTAGGTTAATGATTAAGAAAAATGATTGAGTCCCAGAAGCTAAGTTAGAGAAAGTTCTTTGAATCTTAATGTTGGGAGATGTATTTTCAGGTTTTGGTGTGCATCGTAGTGAAAACAAAGCTTCAAATAATGACTGATGGTTAGGTTAAGGTTTTTTTTTTTTTTTTTAATGGCTTTGAGGTAGAAAATCTTGGAAAACAATCTAAAGTTTGGAAAGGCACATAGTTGAGTGAAGGACTTCTTAAGGCCAAGGAACAAGAACAAAGTAGTTGGTTATTATTAGCTGATGTGCCTTTTTTGTTAGGATGGGTTGGAGATCAAAGATGATGATTACTTGGGCCCATTTCTTTCCTCAGATTCCTGAGATTTAAAAAAAAAACAAAAGACTGTTGATGAGCAGACATGTACCGTTGTGCAAGATTACTTTAAGATGTGTTACAGTCATTATGCTGTGGAATATTTGTTTAATGATGCAAAGTTGTGTTGCATTCTTTTATGCTGCATTTGTTTAACTCTGTAAAGCTGTGTTACTTTGCCTGCCTAAAACACCTGATAGTCTAATAAAGAGCTAAACGGCCAGTAGCTAGGCAGGAAAAAGGATAGGCATGCCTGGTAGTCAGAAAGAATAAAGAGGAGGAGAAATCTAGAGAACAGTGGGAAGTGAGAAAAGGAGAAGGGGAGGAAAATGCTAGGGGCCAGCCGCCCAGCCGCCCAGCCACTCAGCCACTCAGCCACTCAGCCACACAGCCAGCCACAGACCATGGAGGAAAGAACGATATATAAAATAAAGAAAGGCAAAAAAGCCCAGAGGAAAATTGTAGTTAAAGAGAAATGGGATAATTTAACTTAGCAAAGCTGGCTAGAATCATTCCAAGTTAAAGCCAAGCATTCATAAATAAGAATAAGTGTCTGTGTATTTATTTGGGAGCTGGGTGGCAGTCCCCCAAAGAGAAAAAAAATAACCAACTACAATGCACCCTGGGGATTTAAAGTAGAGCTATTTTTCATATGTAAAAGTTTAGGTTTGTGGTTCTTTTAAGACTTTTTGTAAGATTGCCTTTGAGATAAATAATAAATGATTTTTTTTTTCTTTGTAATCACAAAATACAGCCTACTAGCAAAGGAACTGGCTGAGAAAAATACCTCACCTGCTTACCCTCTGTTAATCTGTAACACATTGCTGAGATATAGAATGTACGTGGATTCTTAGGACAACTTGTTTTTCCACCTGTAATATGTGTTTGAGCATGTAAGGGATATGGGAAACATGCTGCTTTTACTTATATTCATTGTAATCATGCTCTTGAAAAATAGAATGTAATCACATTATAAATTTTATATTGCTTGAGAGATTCTACTGGGGTATATAAGCTGTAAGGGAAAAAAAATAAAGACATGAGAGAAGGAAGCCCCCAGAAAAGATGTATAAGTAAAGCTAGAAGGAAGACATCAAGAGAGACAGAAGAGAAACATCAGGGTAGAAAAACAGAACAGATAAAGAATAGAGTAGAACAAGCAACAATAAGAATGGCAAAATGAAGAACTAAGTTTTGGCCCTCAGAAAAGTCCTCATGTGTCTGTTGTCTGTACAGTAGTTCACCTGCTCTAAATCTCCTCTTCAGGTTCTCTGACTGCTGAAGACTCAGTATTCGTCAGCACTGTAGGTGAGATCCTGACATGTTGGAGATGTGTGTGTGTGTGTGTGTGTGTGTGTGTGTGTGTGTGTGTGTGTGTATACTCACAGGCATGCACATGTGTGCTTATGTGTGTGTATGTTTCCCTTTCTTGCTGGCCCTAGAGAGTTAAGCTTAGCACTCCTCACTGGGCCCAGACAGTTAAGTTTTACTCCCTCATATAGAAAAGCCAAGTTCAGTGATACTCTGCTGACCTTGCTGGTTCCTTCTCAAACCCTGAGCTACTAGAGACTGGTTCTCTTGGCAGCAGTAGTCCAGGGACTGTTAGCCATGGCCAAAAACAACAGCTCTTGTGGGGGGGCAACTGAATGCCCCCCTTTTTGTTTTTTTCGAGACAGGGTTTCTCTGTGTAGCTTTGGAGCCTATCCTGGCACTCACTCTGGAGACCAGGCTGGCCTTGAACTCACAGAGATCCGCCTGCCTCTGCCTCCCGAGTGCTGGGATTAAAGGCGTGCGCCATCAACGCCCGGAGAATGCCTTCTTTTGGCCTCACATGTAAAAACACACACACACACACACACACACACACACACACACACACACACACACACACACACATGAAAATATTCCACCCTTCTTCGGTGGCCCAGAGACCCAGGTAGGCTGCTTTTACCCCATTTCCAGCTCCCTCCATGCAGCTGGCAAAAAAGCCCAGCTAGCTCCTTGCCAGAGATCAATGTCTACTCCTAGTCTGTCTTCCTCCCTTTTGGACTAACCAGAGCTCTGCCAGCTACCTGATATGAACACTCTAGTTAATCCATGGTCTTTAGACCAGTCCACAGTGCCAGGGGAAATGTATTCCATAATCCTTGACAAAGATGTTGAAGGCACCAGACTTTAAGTGACAAGCAGAAAACATGGAATAGAGACTTAGTCCCAAATAATACTAGACAAAGTGGAAATCTCAGCTCTGCCATTAGCCAACTCCTTCCTGAACATTTTAAAGACTTTTGCTGAAAGAAGAAAAGTAACATAAGCAAAGAAAAGAAAAAAGAAAAACTGAACCAGGCAACTCCAGATAAACAAATACCAGTATGAATATAAAAACAACAGGAAAACCAAAATAACATGTCTCCTCTAAAAAATGCAAATCACATAGTAATGGCCCAAATGAAAATGACATGGAATAATTTCTATGAAAAGAAATAGAATAATGATTATAAATACAGAAAAACAATAACAAAAACAACTCAAAAATGACAAAGAAATAAATAAGTCAATCCCAAGACTTGAAAATAGAGTTCAAATTGCTGAAGGAAACTTAACTGAAAAACCAAACAAACAGTGGAAATAGTAACTTTGTGATCATGTCAAAGACAGAGGGTCAGATATGGAAGGCAAAGTAGAGAAATTGGGTCTCTCAGTACATGTCAATGAGAAAACAAGCAAAAAGAAAGGAACACGGGATAATTTGGGGACGCCCTGAAGAGACCTAGCCTTCTAAACAAGGGCATAGAAGAAGGATAAGAATGCCATAGTGAAGACATAGAAAATATCTTCAGTAAAATCATAGAAGAAACTTTCCCAAACCTAAAGAAAGAGATGCCTATCCAAGTACAGGAAACCCAAAGAACACCTAATAGAGAGGACCAGAAAAGAAATTCTGTATGATGTATTTTAGTTAAAACATTAAAAACATATGTAGATGGAGTTTTCCTGTCCCCATTACCTGCTCCCAAATAACCATCAGCCTGCTTCCCAAATAACAGATCCAGAGACTCAATATTAGTTATA